ATTAGAATTTAATATCTCGTAGTTAGAATTTAAAAATAGTTAAAGTATAAATTATAACTAATTATCTTATAGAATTTTATTATTATTATGTTAGAACTCATAAATTATTATGTTATATAACATAATACTAATTACCTCTAATAAAATACAAATGAGTGATGCTATTAAAAATTGTAGTTCCCTTTTTTATTAAATCTGCTCATTTTCAACTCGGTAATAAATTTTAAAATACAAAATAACATTTTGACTTAAATTTGAAATTCATAAATACCAATTTAAATAACAAATTGAACGAAAAAAATTGGATTCTGTTAGAGCAATTCATTGAGACCGATTAATTCAGTATGATTTGACTGAATTTTATGACAAGAGATTGTTTGACACTTTTCTCAGAGTTATATGATTCGTGTGAATATTATAGTAGGAAAAGTGTTCTAACAAAATAGTAAAAAATTCTAATTTATAATAGTAATAAAATCTATACCATAATAGTTTCTAACTTCTAACATAGTAGTACTAAATATTACTTCATAAGGCTATCAATTCTAAACTATATAATAATAATATCCAACTTCTAACATAATAGTAATAAATTAAAATTTATAACATAATCAGTTTTAATCTATAATATAACAATTTCTAACCTCTAACAAAATAGCAATAAATTCTACTTCATAAGACAATCAATAATCTACAATACAATAATTCTAACCTTTATTATATTAGTAATAAATTCTAATTTATAAGATAATCAATTCTAATATATAACATAATAATTTATACTAATATAATTTTTTCAAAAAAAGTATCATTTCTAATTTATAATAATATAACTTATACTAATTATACTAATATCATTTTTTTAACAGTATGTGTTGTTAGTTTATTTTATCCTCAACAAGTGCATAATAAACATAACCCGAAATTAACATATAAACACGACCAGATATCATAATATATCAATAACATAATGAATGTCATCAGTCAATCACAAACATAATATACCATAACAATTTCCAACTTCCAACATAATAGTAATAAATTCTAATTTATAACATAATCAATTTTAATCTATAATACAATAATTTCTAACCTCTAACAAAATAGCAATAAATTCACTTTCATAAGACAATCAATTCTAATCTATAATACAATAATTTATAACCTCTAACATATTATTAATAAATTCTAATTTATAAGATAATCAATTCTAGTATATAACATAATAATTTATACTAATATAATTTTTTCAAACAAGTATCATTTCTAATTTATAATAATATAACTTATACTAATTATACTAATATTATTTTTTAATTGTATATGTTGTGAGTTCATTTTATCCTCAACAAGTGCATAACAAACATAACCCAAAATTAACGTATTAAAATGACCGAATATCATAATATATCAATAACATAATGAATGGCATCAATCACAAACATCATATACCATAACAATTTCCAACTTCTAACATAATAGTAATAAATTCTAATTTATAACATAATCAATTCTAATCTATAATGCAATAATTTCTAACCTCTAACAAAATAGCTATAAATTCTAATTCATAAGACAATCAATTCTAATTTATAGTATAATAATTTCTAACCTCTAACTATTAGTAATAAATTCTAATTTATAAGATAATCAATTTTAATATATAAAAAATAATTTATACTAATATAATTTATCAAACAAGTATCATTTCTAATTTATAATAATATAGCTTATACTAATTATACTAATATTATTTTTTTAACTGTATATGTTGTTAGTTCATTTTATCCTCGGCAAGTGCATAACAAACATAGCCCGAAATTAACGTATAAACACGACCGAATATCATAATATATCAATAACATAATGAATGTCATCAATCACAAACATAATATACCATAACAATTTCCAACTTCTATCATAATAGTAATAAATTCTAATTTATAACATAATCAGTTCTAATCTATAATACAATAATTTATAACCTCTAACAACAAAGCAATAAATTCTAACTCACAAGACAATCTATTCTAATCTATAATACAATAATTTCTAACCTCTAACATATTAGTAATAAATTCTAATTTATAAGATAATCAATTCTAATATATAAAATAATAATTTATACTAATATAATTTTTTCAAACAAGTATCATTTCTAATTTGTAATAATATAACTTATACTAATTATACTAATATCATATTTTTAACTGTATATGTTGTTAGTTCATTTTATCATGTTAGTTCATTTTATCCTCAACAAGTGCATATAAACATAACTCGAAATTAACGTATAAACACGGCCGAATATCATTATATATCAATAACATAATGAATGTCATCAATCACAAACATAATATACCACAACAATTTCCAACTTCTAACATAATAGTAATAAATTCTAATTTATAACATAATCAATTCTAATCTATAATACAATAATTTCTTGATGGATCTTTGTGTGAAATTACACGGGAATCCTACGAACTAAAGTGTATTTTCCAGTTCTTACAAATAATCTCAAAATAGAAATTACAATTGAACTGAAAATAAATTACAACTGAAAAATGTAAAAATTTTAGTCGAGGCGAGTAAAACTCTTTTTGCAAGAAGAATACGCCCCGTGTGGCAGCTAAAGGTTCAGGCGTAACTTCCCCAAAGATACAATGCAAACGTCTCTAAATCTGTAGCACACCAGATTTACGAGCTCCGACGAATGGGAACGGAGTCGAGAATTGAACACTTAAAAATAAATGGAATGATTTTGAAACAAATAAAAATATCACATGTTTCTTCTCTTTT